AATCAAATTCAATTCAATTCTTTTTCACCACACACACACACACACACACACACACACACACTCACACACACACACACACACACACACACACACACATACACGTGAAGACGCCCACCTTGTAACTGATCGAAATCGCGCCTATAGATAGATTTAAGTGAGGCAGCGTAGTGAAACCAGGCACTCGTCAAAATACATGTATCCTAAGAGAAGAAACTGACATTTTCCCGCAGGTTTGGGAATTTTTATCGAATTTTTGTTTTTCGGCTCAACTTCTTTCAAGCCCATTAAAAACACATTTCACAGTGGATCTTACTGAAGAAAAAAAGTTGATTAAATGCATAAAAGATGTAAATTTTCAGTTTCCACGGGCTCTGAAGCTGAGGAAATTACTAGACTTTGGAGGCCATTTTCTTGCTAATTTTACATCTGAAACCAGGCAACCCCACCATCTTCAATCCCAAATATGTCGACTTGTATCGAAGATAAATGTGTATTGTTTTCATCAAGAGCAAGGCAAATGGACAGACTTTAACAGATGATACCAATAACTCGACATACCCAAAAATTGACCAGCGTCTTATTCCACCACGACGTGTCACGTATTACATGTACTGTGAGGGACACTTAAGTCAGTATAAGATCGACGTCTGGAGATGTAGTGGTTAGGGGCTTCGCTGCCGCACACAGAAGATCCGAGTTTGATTCCCGAATAGGGAGAACAAGTTTTATACAGTATCTCGGTCTTTCTGCAGGGACGCTGTATCGCTCTCAGCTCGGGTAACCCTGACAGGCGGGGGTCAGAACCTGACCCCGTCGTTTCATGCAAGAAAAATTCGGAAATTATTCAAACTGGGCCCAAAAATGTGAAATTATGCGATTCTGTTAATTTTAACAAAGAATGAAAAAGGAAAATAATCAGAAATTATGAAAAAAACGATCAAATTTTGCTAAATTATGCAGGGTGCATAAAACCACGGGGACAGAGAAGCGCGCCTCCTAAATGATCTAAATTGTGTCGACGGGGGCCAAAAATACATGTACCTACACTTTAAAAAACAAACAAACAACAACAACAATAACAACAAGCAAAACTAAGCTCCTCAACACTGAGGGTATGCCTATCCTAGAGATGGCCTCATAATTTGTTCACTTCCCGAACCTTTTCCTTCTTCATTTCTTTCTTCCCAATTTCGGCCCCGACAAAAATCTCACTCCCCATAGCTCAGACTCGGAGCAGGTGGCTTGGATTCTTGGAGCCAGACTCTCTCTCTCTCTCTCTCTCTCTCTCTCT